AATTTCATGCGTTCCATTTCTTACCGTGTGATGTACCTCTTCTGTGCAGAATGCATTCCTGTACTATCCAAATTATTCTTGAGCTGTGGCACTCTAGATTTGTCGGTGCTCAGATTTGCAAGGCTTGAAAGTAGAACAAGGATATTAGACAGAACTAAAATCTCCTGTATTCCATAAACAGTTCTGCAATAATTAGTGAGATACGTGTTTTCTGCACATAATGATGTCCATTTTTTTAAGTGACGTGAAAACAACATTTATTAACAAGAAGTCATCTTTCTTGGTAGGTTGTGTGCCTTGATTTAGGATGACAACTAGCAACACTAAATTGGTAGTTTTATTTTGATACAATCACTTTTACAATTCATTTTAAGACACCAGGTTAGGCAGATTTTCAACGAGCAAACTTAATAAGTGTGTTCACGTCAACCTGCAAGTGTTCTTGCTCTGCAACTGTTTGTTTCCTGAAACAGTAACCAACACATCCAAATAATTCTTCAGCTATTTCAAAATACATGTGACATTTTTATATACTATATATATATATATATATATATATATATATATATATATATATATATACATATATATTCTATCGTGCCATTATTTATTTTACAAAAATTCAGCCAAAATGCAGAAGCCATGTGTGAAAAACTAAGTACACCCTTCGTGCTTCCATAGGAATTAAGACAATAATTAGCAGCCAGGTGTTGCTGATCAAATGCACATGATTAATTAATCAGCAAGAGTGACCACCCCTATAAAAGCAGAGGTTTTTGCACTTTGCTGGTCTGAAGCTTTAAGTGTGTGTTAATACAAACCCCAATTCCAATGAAGTGTAAAACATGAATAAAAACAGAATACAATGATTTGCAAATCTCATAAACCCACATTTTATTCACAATAGGAAATAGACAACATATCAGATGTTGAAAGTGGGACATTTTACCATTTAATGAAAAATATTAGCTCATTTTGAATTTATTGGCAGCAACACATCTCAAAAAAGTTGGGACAGGGGCAACAAAAGGCTGGAAAGTTAAGTGGTACTAATATAAAAACAGCTAGAGGAGCATTTTGAAACTAATTAGGTTAATTGGCAACAGGTCAGTAACATGACTGGATGTAAGAAGAACACTTTAGACAGGCAGAGTCTCTCAGAAGTAAAGATGGGCAGAGGTTCACCAATCTGTGAAAAACTGGGTCTAAAAATTGCGGAACAATTTCAGAAAAATGTTCCTCAATGTAAAATTGCGAAGACTTTGAATATCCCACCATCTTCAGTACATAATATCATCAAAAAATTCAGAAAATGTGGAGAAATCTCTGTGTGCAAGGGACAAGACTGAAGGTCAATATTGGATGCTTGTGATCTTCGGGCCCTCAGGCGGCACTGCATTAAAAACAGGCATGATTCTGCACTGGAATACACTGCATGGGCTCAGGAACACTTCCAGAAGTCATTGTCCGTGACCACAGTCCGCTGTGCAATCCACAAATGCAAGTTAAAGCTGTGTCATGCAAAGAAGAAGCCATATGTGAACACGATCAAGAAACGCCACCGTCCTCTCTGGGCCAAAGCTCATTTAAAATGGATTTAGGCAGAATGGAAAACTGTTCTGTGGTCAGATGAATCGAAATGTGAAATTCTTTTTGGAAACCATGGACGCCATGCGATCTAAAGAGGAGAGGGACCATCCAGCTTGTTATCAGCGCACAGTTCAAAAGCCTCCATCTCTGATGGTCAGGGGTTGCATTTCTGCCAATGGCATAGGCAGCTAACACATCTGGGAAGGCACTATAAATGCTAAATCTGGGCACCTTGCAGTCATTCAGTAGACCATGAACTCCTCTGCGTCTCAAAGTATTCGAGAGTTAAATGTGAAACCATCTTTAGGACATCTAAAGCTTGGCTGCAATAGGGGCAAGCAACAGGGCCCGTATTTATCAATCTTCTCAGAAATACTCTTAAGAATGCTGTTGAGAATTGACTTAAGAGTGAAAAAATTCTTGGCTCAAAGCTGTGCTTAAAAGTTAGTTATCAAGCATCAGAGTCTCACTTTAAGCGAAGTGTAGGACTAAATCCTAAGCGTAAGTCTCAGAGCTGATTTACGACGTTTTGCTGTGCCGCAAAGGGGATCCTGGATGACGTATTTAGAAAACCTCAGGCAAGGACCAATCACTGAATCGGATTTCTTATTTAAGAATATTTTCAGAGAAATGTCAAAATGAAATTGTGAAAATCTTAAGATAAGTTCACATTCAACACAATAAAGAATAAAGTTTTTTTTTTTTTAAATGAAGAATGTTTGAAATAATCCATTGCATTCATGTATTAAATTAAAGACAAGCAGTTTCCTATTTGTTCTGACCATTTCTTGATGACAAATTTGAAACAGGTGCGTGGTTAACTGACTTGTGTATATAAAGCCTAAATTTGATGATGTGATCACTGCAGCCATGGATTCTAAAAGGAAACCCAACTGGAGAGGAGGAAACACTGACACCCGGTGAGTTAGGTGAAGAAAGAAAGTATATTATAAAAGGAAAGTTCAGTCCCACCTTAACTAGTGCAGAAAAGAAAAAAGCATGGGAGGACATCTCCAGACTTTTGACTGCATCTCCTGTCTCCTGCATTCGCTCACCATCTGACTGTGAGAAAAAATGGCACAACATTCTCTCCAAAAGCCGCACTGAAATATCCGCCATTAAGTCCAACATTACGTGCACTGTTGTGTATACTCATTTTTTTTCTATTTCGTATTTACATGCCTAAGCCTTTTGTCCTACCTTATTTAGGCTACTCTATACATTAAAACTGATAATCACTCTCAGGCGGGGGACCCCCAGGCCAGCCACTGAGCGCAGTTTCTGAGGTGGTGCAGTGCATTCTTGGGGATGACTGTGCTGTGATCTCAGGAGTGGAAGGGAGCCAGGATCCTGCATTAATGAAGCTAGAAATTCTATCTCAAAGGCAAGGTTATCTTTTCATTTATTTTTACGTCAAAACTATGATAATAATCAACATTTCAAATCATTTTATCCTTCAGTAATAACGAAGACGGGGGCGCCTGACCCCGTCGGCTTGAGCATGAGCACAGATTCTCCGTGTGTTCCTCTTGTTTTTGAGGTGCTTGGGTGCACATCAAGTCAGGAATGCCCGGCAGAGGACTACAGGGTGTCGAATGAAGGCCTGGCAGCGGAGGACCCGCTCCCAAGTGACCTGCAAGAACTGAAGAGAGAAGATAAAGCGTAAAATTGTAGTATTGAGACTGCAGCATGAATATTACACTCTGGCACTCAAAAAAGAGTGAAAAATAAATACTTGAACCCATGCTTGTATTCATGCCTAATTCTTGTGCGTATTGATGCATAATAGTTGAAATGCGTACCTAAAGTGGAGGTTTGCAAAGTGCCCCACTACACGTGTTGGCCGGGGAGCTCTCATCTCCATCTTCATCACTGTCATCGCGGTTTTCCTGTGGTGGTGGTGGGATGTTGCGTCTTTTGCAAATATTATGCAGAACTGCACATGCCATTATAATTTGGCATACTCTTTCGGGGGAGTACCGAATTTCTAAATGTGGAATCTGCGCTTCCATTGGCCAATCCCTCTCTCTACCACACTTCTCGTAATACGGTGTGCCCTAGGATATATTAGAGAGGGGATAATTAAATTTAATTACAGCCTAAATTAGGATTATTCTAAAATATAATTAAAAAGTATCATTCTAAATAGCTGAAATAATAGGCTACCTGTTGTAGTTGACTTGGGCTTCTGTCACCGGTATTCGGAAAGGGGTGAGCAGCCACCGGCGTAAAGGGTATCCTTTATCGCCTAACAGATGACATCCTGGCGGTACTAATCCTCTTTCAAAGAGTTGCTTCAGGCCGCTTCCATTTAAAATCAGTGCATCATGGGTAGACCCAGGCCATTTGGGTACAACATCCAAAATGTTGTATTCTGCATCAAACACAACTTGAGTGTTGATGCTGTGGTACCTCTTCTTGTTAACATAAACATCCTCATTAATGCTGGGAGCAATGATCTTTACGTGAGTGCCGTCAATTGCATCGGCGACTCCTGGAAAGCCGGCTATTTGCATGAACTGGGTTTGCTTCTGTTGGATTGCGCGGGGTGTCGTTGGAAAGTCGATGAAACGGGTAACGATGTGTGGAGCTGTAAGTGCCATAATTGTTTCCATGACAACTCGGCTAATTGTTGGTTGGGATGGTCCCAAATCTTCAGCATTACACTGCTGCATTTTTCCTGTGGCAAGGAAACGAAGCGTCATCACTACCTTTTATTCGGCTGAGATGGCATTGCTGCGTAAAGTTGATGGTGAGATGATGTCCCTCACCAAGTCGGTGACAAAGATAATGCCTGCTCTGTCCATTCGATATCGTATGAATAACTGAAAATCATCAAACATTTCCAACACATTCTTCCTCTCCTGGAAGGTTCGCACACGTCGTGCCATCACAGGCCTCTAGTGGCAACTCCAAACCAGTTGAGAGACCTCTGGAGCTGTCTTAAATAACTGGGAGAGTAAGAGTGATTCTTAGCCTTAAGAAATTTGATAACTTGCATTTATACTTAAGTCTGAAAGAAGGAGTAAATTTCTGAAATTCTCAACACTTAAGACTAAAATGGCACTTTGAGAAGCTTGATAAATACGGGCCTAGGACAATAATCCCAAGCACACCAGCAAATCTACAACAGAATGGCTGGAAAAGAAAAAAATCAAGGTGCTGCAAAGGCCAAGTCAAAGTCCAGACCTCAATCCGATTGAAATTCTGGGGCAGGACCTTAAGAGAGCTGTGCATAAACAAGTGCCCTCAAACATCAATGAACTGAAGCAATGTTGTACAGAGGAGTGGGACATTCCTCCACCATATATGAGAGACTGGTAAAATCATAGAGATAAGGATTAGTTCTAGTTTTCACTGATGAAGGTGGTTCTACAAGTTATTGAATCATGGTGTGGCAGGCTGAAGGAGGGCCCAAGCAGGGGATTGAACCCCAGACTCCTAGGTTAGAGTCACATGCGCTGACCACATCGCCAAAGAGCCAGGCTCGTTGGGAAGGTAGCCAGGGCACGTACTTATTAGGAGACATTTCTAGTGACAGGACCCATCAACTGTCACAACGGGGTGTACTTAGTTTTAAACAGATGACTTCTGCATTTCGGCTGAATTTTGGTAAAATAAATAATGGCGCGGTGGAATATATTTTGTGTTGTTTTACACCTGAGGTTAGACTTACCTAATTTTAGGACCTGATAAGGACCAGTGTAAAACTATAGAATTGAAAGAGGGTGTACTCTTTTTCTCATGACCGTGTGTGTGTGTGTGTGTGTATATATATATAAATATATATATATATATATATATATATATATATATATATATATTGTTTATAGAATCTTACATGTGTGGGCGTGTCATATGAAAGTTATGAAACAAGTTTAGTAAATTTTGCTGCAACAAACCCAAAATTTACTCAACGAGTTTCAGAACTTTCTGATGACACAACCAAGATTATAAGATTCTGTTTATCACATAACTGAATTGCGTAATCTAATAGAAAACAAATGTGATTTCTGCTAGCGCCCATTGTTTGTTAGCCCTGACCCTAACGCTATCGCTCTGCTAACAAAGTCAGTCACTGAGTCACAGACATTCGCGGCTGAACCAGCAAGGGTTCGTAAATTCAGCAACCTGAGTAGCTTGCTATCGTTAGCTCGCTAGCTAACAAACTAATGTTAGATTATAGTTTTGTAAACATACTGCGTACATTCTAGCCAGCTAGCTAAGTAATGTGAACTTAGTTATGTGAGTGGAACCTAACGAGCTTGCAACAGCACTGAGCCATACCGATTTATCCAGCGTTACACTTGGTATTCAGTTTGGCTAAATATTAGCGGCTTAACAGCGTGACATAATGCGGAGCGGTTTTTCTCCCCGCATGCTCTCAGCCAATGAAATTTTTGCAAGGATAATATCAAAAATGTCATTGGCTGGGCTATGGGAAAAGTGCTGCAGTTATGTGATAAATTAATTTTCAGTGGAGTGCCATCTGAGCCCTCAGTAACCCCACCTTTTAACCTAAAAAGTGCTTAATTTTTACTCACTCTGTCCTTCCAAAAGGTAATCATTCATTCATTAGTTGACAAATGACCTTCAGAGGGATTCACAGGTACCTCAAAATTGTTTACCTTTTGAAGGCTGAAATACTAAATTTTGCTTCGTATATTTTGCGCAGTGCATGACTATAGCAGTGATTAGCACTTTAAGGGCTAATGCATGATTGCTCTCAATCTGTTCCTGTTTAAAATCTCCTGATTAACGATGTATCAATTCAATTTCTGGATAATTAAGACCAATACCTAAGCCTATAATGATTAAGAAATTATTAATGAAGAAATGACAAAGGTAACACTGATAGGCTACAAAATTTTATATTGTAAGGATGGCTATAATCCTATAATTAATCAATTCAAAAATTTCTCTTAATTCCATCTTTCATCATAGCATTTTTTTCTGCAGTGTAATTTATCTTGAGATGGCTTTGAACTTATTCAAAAGGTTTGCCGTGTTAAAAAGAATACAATTAAAATCTCAGGGGTATCAAGCCTTATCGAACAATGTAAAACAATGTCACTTATAAGCCTCGCAAACAAATATGTGCTGCTTTATGAGCTACACAAAGTCAGAATCTTCAACAGACATTGACATTATGTCATCATTACTGCGGATAGGAAAATTCCTGATAACTCTGCGACGCAGTGAACTATAATGCCAACTAAAAAAAAAAAATAATAATGGCCGGTCATTCTATTGAGTAGTCTTTCCAAGTAAGTTAATTAATGTTTGGTTGTTAATTGGGAAAAGGAAAAGGGAACCAGTATTGAGTAATCATGCTATAAGGTGAGGTTACCAAAGGGCTTTTAGACCTCTCCAATAGCATATCACTCAAAATCCTCCGAGTCCCCAGTTGAAAAAAAACTGCACTTTGAGCTCATATGCATCATTCAATTTCAACAACAACATGCTGCGGTAGACTGCTAAGCAAAAACTTTTAATTATTCTGTCCTCTGTCTATTCATATCAATGAGTGTTTAATCAGTTGAATACATTGAGCCATGGGTCAGATTTAATGGCAGGGAGGATGTGAGGTTGGACAAGGGTACAAGGACACTTAGTCATAACATCATATAATTCTCTATCATCAATGGCACGCCGATTTTCAAACTGCCTCCGCAGATTTTTTTTTACATTTACAAATCAAGAGAGCTTTTACTGTATAAAATGTTTTGAAGGTGCTGTTTTTGATATCGGTGGTATTTGGAGTAAGGAAAGAATTCCAGGTGTTGAACTGGAGTTGTATCTTGTCCTGGCATAAATTAAGCACACAGTTTAAAGTGAAATTTAATGGAAATCAGACTTGTATCCTGAAAGCTGGCAGTGTCAGTGTCAATGGGCAGCTGCTTATTGTACCCTAGTGTTTGGGTAACCACCCACCCTGTAAATTAGCAGGGTCTAAAAGCTACACGTCTCCCAGTATTGAATGTGCGCCATTGAGGGACACACAACATTTTCAATTCTTCACAAAGCAGCCAGAATCGGAGTGGGAAAAAACTATTTTAAAAAAGCCTATACACGTTCAATGGTAAAGGCTAGTCGATATAGGCTACCCCTCCCCCATTTCATTCTGGAGTTTCAAAAGAAGGCCTGAGGTCTGGTCCCTACACTCCCACATCCCACTCTTCCCCGCACCAACCCACCCCCACCCAACAAAACAGCCTGAAATATTAGCAGTTTTAGCAACCAGCATCAGTGTCACAAAATGTTGCATTTCTGCGGAGATCTGTCAGTCTGTCATTAGTGATGTCATAAAGGGTGTTAATGTAGATTAGCATTGTTTTTCAATTGGCAGGACGGCTTTAGATCCTGCCGCAGCAGATGGGTCCACAGTGGTCAGGGAGTCCCGGATGGGAAGGGGGGTGTGCGGCCTGTCCTTTGTGTTGAGGTTTTTAGAGGCTGTAATGTAGCGTTCCCCCTTCCCTCTCTTCAGGATTTGCAGTGCACCAAGCCCGTTCTTTTGACAAGTTGTGTGGGCTGTAATTTCTGGACTTTGCTCGTCAATTGAGTTTTTTACCTTAACACGTCCCCTCCTACTCATAAAAACACATCTGAACGGAAAGTAATTTAATTATATTGACTTCACTACAAAAACGTCTGTCAGTGGACTGTGGTGGTGATAAATTGTCCCCCTCGGGCTGTTCCTCGCTCTTTGTTGTTTTGTTAGCCTTCCAGGTTAACGATTAATATGAACGAAAAATGGTTTGGCTTAAATCAAGCTTTTGCAAACACTGGAGGTGATGATCGAAGGAATCTAACCACTCCTGTCCCCTGGGGATTGCTCGGTATATTGCTGGGGCGTTGGTCATGACGTCATGGCATTTCCTGAAGGGTTAATACTTTGTTGCTAAAGTGCATTTTTCTATTAATCTAGCAGACTTTGGCAAAACAGGAAACTAAGAAATAACTGCCCAAACTGCTTTCTTGTGGAATAATATAATGGCTAATTACTGTTAGGATCTTATTGGAGGGGATTTTTAACGTAGAGTCCATTTTCTTTGTTAGTTATGTGTAGAGAGCTGAATTGTTAGACTCCAGCTGAGTAGAGGCCGGACTCAATCAGTCCAGGGGGAAGGGGAGTGGAAGGGGGTCAGCTTCTTTGGGTCAGCAATCTGAATGAGATTTCTCTTCAAAACTGCTACGACTGCGGCCTGTTTTGCCTGACTGCCGCTCGTCAGCGGACTAGGACAGTGCTCGCCCGCCTGCCTGCTGTTTCTCCTTTGTCTTGATCTCAAGAGAGTGCCCAACTACCACCCCCTCCCCCCCGCCTCCCAAAAACCACTTTCTAAGAGCTTCCTAGTATCCAGGGAGAAACTAGCACTCACCTGTGTCTGCCATTATGGCTCTAAAGGGGTCTGTTTCTGGGCATCCTTGCATTAACCCTGGAGTTTTCAGAAAGCTGTGTCACACAGCGCTGATGTCACAGGAAGCTACACAAAAGCCACTCGTTGGCCTGCAGATTGGATTATCCGACAATTTACTACCTTGGTAGGTCGTTGCCTTCACCTCTGCATTTAGTTCCCTTGTTTGCCGTCCTGGCTGAAAATCCCACTGCCTGCTCCCCTCTCTCGCTGTTATATATGTTCAGAGATTAAATATGTGTGAAGAGCTTCTGAAACATGTCGCTAAATGATGTCATCATTTGAGAAAGTAACGCACTTGTCCAATAATGACCACAGAAACCCAGGGTCATTTTCCAAGGAACCTTTTTGAAATTCCAAGGGAATTATAGAAACTTGTCCATGAATAATGTTTTCTGTTAGCCTGTTTAAGATATGAAAACATTCTGGGAGAAATTTGTTTTGCTGTGGAATGCTGGGGTAACAGGCCAAAGTATACTTTCAGCCCAGAGTATACCCGAGGTTAAAGTGGGCTAGCCTGTTTTATACCCCAGGTATAATCTGGGCCAGGACCCCCCCACCCCCCCAAGCCCGGGGGGGAGAAGTGAATTTTCTATAACTCATCCATTTACATTATATTAAAGTCCGACATCACTAAGGGTGTGGCCACTTTGAATGACAGATGGTGGTAGTCTCATTTTGGGCTTCTCAGCTAAACGATGTTTGTGCTGCTGGTAACGATTGGAAAATTTTCTACGAAATATCAGGAAAACAATGTCTTCCTGTGGGTGTAAGTGTACAGACAAACCATTCAAGAAGTCTTTTTTTCTCAGTTCAGCGAATTTCTAGTACTGTTTCATTTATTGTTATATGTTGGCACTAAGTAACTAGTGTCATTGTTAGCTTTGTAACCAGCCAATTCGCTAGAGAATGAATAAGCCTTCAGATAGCCTTCGTGCATGCTGCTCAGCTGGGCTAAGGGGAGTGCATGCTTGCCACGGTTATTAAAACGACATGCGCCAAAGTCACAATGTAATAGAGAAGTGTTGGAATTTACGGTGATTATACTTTTGAACAAGGTGTCTGTCT